GAGAGGGAAACATCTCAGATCAGGTGTTTGGGTTGTAAAGATGCTGCTGATGAGACTCTGTAGAAAGCAGCTGGTCTGAGTGCAGTGATCAGAGTGCAGGAGATCATGTGGGACAGCAGTTTGGAGAGGAAATGGATTCTGTTGTTCTTCACACTCACACCTGCTTCTCTCCTACAGGGACCCAGGAGGGAGGAGATGAGGAGGGAGGAGACGAGGAGGGAGGAGACGAGGAGGTAGGAGGCGAGGAGGGAGGAAGCAAGGAGGGAGGAGCCAAGGAGGGAGGACCTGCAGGTCGGGAACATCTTGCTCTGGTTGCACCAGTTCTGGGGATCGTTGCTGTTTCTGCTGCTGTCTGGATCCACAAAACACCCATGAAGAAGAACTCTGCTCCTCCTGATGAAAAAGGAGCTGTCGCATATCCAGTATGAAACCAGGTTTTCATACCATTTCCTATGGTCATATAAATATATATATGTATGTATGTATATATATATATATATATATATATATATATATATACAGTGGGGGAAATAAGTATTTGAGCCTTTGCTGATTTTGCAGGTTTGCCCACTTACAAAGAATGCAACGATCTATAACTTTAATCACATGTATATTCTAACAGTGAAAGACAGAATCCCAAAAGAAAATTCCTGAAAGTCACATCATATGAATTTATAAAAATTGATAACCATCTGTTGAGGAAAAATAAGCATTCTTTGTTAGTGGGCAAACCTGCGTAAGTGTGTATATATATATATATATAACCATAGGAAATGTGTGTGGCTATACTGTCCTCTACTCCAATATGAATGTCTAAAGATACAGTATATACGTTTATATCCTCGTCAAACCGACTGTAAAAAGGGCAAAGATACAGTATATACGTTTATATCCTCGTCAAACCCACTGTAAAGGGGGCGAGGGTACAGTACGGTACAGTACGGACGTTTATGTCCTCATCGGACCCACTGTAAAGGGGGCGAGGGTACAGTACGGTACAGTACGTACGTTTATGTCCTCATCGGACCCACCGTAAAGGGGGCGAGGGTACAGTACCGTACAGTACGTACGTTTATGTCCTCATCTGACCCACTGTAAAGGGGGCGAGGGTACAGTACGGTACAGTACGGACGTTTATGTCCTCATCGGACCCACTGTAAAGGGGGAGAGGGTACAGTACAGTACGGACGTTTATGTCCTCATCGGACCCACCGTAAAGGGGGCGAGGGTACAGTACAGTACAGTACGGACGTTTATGTCCTCATCGGACCCACCGTAAAGGGGGCGAGGGTACAGTACGGTACAGTACGTACGTTTATGTTCTCATCGGACCCACTGTAAAGGGGGCGAGGGTACAGTACGGTACAGTACGTACGTTTATGTCCTCATCGGACCCACTGTAAAGGGGGCGAGGGTACAGTACAGTACGTTTAT